TTAATTCTAAGCGGTATGTGTGGAGAAAACCAGGCACTGCTCATCACCTGTCCAATACAGTCCCATCAGTGAAGCATGGTGGTGGCAGCATCATGCTGTGGGGGTGTTTTTCAGCTGCAGGGACAGGACGACTGGTTGCAATTGAGGGAAAGATGAATGCGGCCAAGTACAGGGATATCCTGGACGAAAACTTTCTCCAGAGTGCTCAGGACCTCAGACTGGGCCGAAGGTTTACCTTCCAACAAGACAATGACCCTAAGCACACAGCTAAAATAATGAAGGAGTGGCTTCACAACAACTCTGTGACTGTTCTTGAATGGCCCAGCCAGAGCCCTGACTTAAACCCAACTGAGCATCTCTGGAGAGACCTAAAAATGGCTGTCCACCAACGTTTACCATCCAACCTGACAGAACTGGAGAGGATCTGCAAGGAGGAATGGCAGAGGATCCCCAAATCCAGGTGTGAAAAACTTGTTGCATCTTTCCCAAAAAGACTCATGGCTGTATTAGATCAAAAGGGTGCTTCTACTAAATACTGAGCAAAGGGTCTGAATACTTAGGACCATGTGATATTTCAGTTTTTCTTTTTTAATAAATCTGCAAAAATGTCAACAATTCTGTGTTTTTCTGTCAATATGGGGTGCTGTGTGTACATTAATGAGGAAAAAAAATTAACTTAAATGATTTTAGCAAATGGCTGCAATATAACAAAGAGTGAAAAATTTAAGGGGGTCTGAATACTTTCCGTACCCACTGTATATATTTGAAAACAGTATCTTATTTTTTTACGAAGGTTGCATTATTAAACAGTAATATTGTGAAATATATTACAGTTAAAATTAAATATTGTAAAATATTAAAAAATGTAACTTATTCCTGTGATGGTAAAGCTGAATTTTCAGCATCATTACTCCAGTCTTCAATGTTACAGGATACTTCAGAAATCATTCTAATATGCTGATTTGCTGCTCAAGAAACATTTCTTATTATTAACAACCTTGAAAACAGTTGGCTTAATATGGAAACAGTGATACAGTTTTTGAGGATTCTTTTATGAATAAAAAATGAGAAAGAACAATACTGTATTTATTCAAAATTAAAATATTTTGAATAATAATAAATGTCTTTACTGTCACTTTTGATCAATTTAATGCATCCTTGTTGAATATAAGTATTAATCTCTTTTTAAAAAAAAATCTTACTGGCATATACTGTACGGTCCTCATAGACCAGGGGTGGCGAATGTCGGTCCTGGAGAGCCGCAGCCCTGCAGAGTTTTGCTTCAACCCTAATCAAACACACCTGAACAAGCTAATCAAGGTCTGAACAGTTACTAGGAAGCTACAGGCAGGTGAGTTTTAATTAGGGTTGGAGCTGAACTCTGCAGGGCTGCGGCTCTCCAGGACTGGAGTTCGCCACCCCTGTCATAGACAAACAAACATAAAACAGAAAGTCGCTAAAAGATTTCTTCAGGGGCATCACTGGGATCTTGCTCCCCTCTGCACAATTTCCTGGAACCATGAGGAATGTAACTTCTAAGACCCTACAGTGAGGCTGAAGACCACCAATACTCCACACAAAGACATGACTTACTCAAACATTCCAGTGCAATTAAAGCATCTTCTGCATGGCACGTTTCACTGAACCACTGGGGGCTTGTTAATAAGACCACAGGGCTTTTACTGAAATCACAGTGAGAGGCGGGCAGTCCGCATATGATCACCATGAGATAAGCTCAAATATGACACTCAGCAGATCCCACCTGGACTCCCCTGACACTGCAATTATGAAACCACTTGCCCTCCTTAAAGGCACCTATAATTAATTCCTAATGGACCCAGAAATGATTTTAAGCCCAGTGACAGTGCTGTAAAACAGGTATAGGCCTAAAGGGAAAATGCTCCATAAAATAAAAGGACAAAAAGAATAGGTTTGTAGATCTTGTCCTAAATAAGCATAAAATATCATATAAATAAAATAACATCAAATAATTATTTGATTACCTGTACCGTTTCATCAGAACCATTAAAATATTAAACAAATCATCCATATCCACTGCAAACTGATAAAGTGCCGATTAATGATTTAAAAAAAAATTTTCTCAACGTAGCCAACATGCCTGTTCGGGTGTTTTTTTCTCTGGGATTTTTTGGCAAGGGGAATGTCCTGCATTGCTTTAGCCATCTGCCGTCCACAAGCTGAACAATAACACACACTCTGAGGACACCGGACAGATGTCTCTGTGGATGAAGAATATATTTTAAATGTAAGTACTGTCTTATTCATTTTTGCAAATCTATTTAACAGTACATTTGGAAATACTACCAGCCAAACATTTGAACACACTTCATGATTAATTCATGTTTTCTATGATCTTAAAAAGTTTTCTAAAGGCTTACAGCATGTTTAAATAATTTAAGTTAGTTTTGTAAAAAAAAAAAAAATGTAAGAAATAATTAAAATATAAATGTGAATTTATTTAGAAGTAAATTTGTACTTATTTATTTATTTTTTTTTCAAGTTGGACCAGATACTGAAGAAAACAAATCTGTAATCTATGAAAACGTTCATATTTTGGTGAATACTATTCTAAAATGTGTATAGTAATAGTAGTAATAAGATAAATACATACATAAACAATAATTAACAAGTAGGTGTGTTCAAATTTTTTACTGTTGAAGTAAGATTGAATTAAATTACATGGTAAATAAATCAGTTTATTTATTAATTGGCTTAAACAGCATTAAAACATATTTGTCCACAGAACCCATGAATGAAGATGTTAAGGTTCTTTGTTAATGTTCTCTATGAAATAATTTTTTAATGATATATTTAAGAGCTTAACCACCAGTCTTCTTCCAAATCAGTCATACTAAATCTTTTTGAAATGGCACTGCTTTTTCTGATGTTAACTAACTGCTAAAACAATGTTTGCTAAACACTGCTGTGCACAGACAAACAAACTGGTGGCAGGAACAAGTTAGGCCTGATATACGGGCCTCTTCTGCAATTCCTCTCAAGAGATAAACATCATTAATATGCTACAAAGTACTTAGGGGGGACATGGGTGCTACTTTGCTGGGGGGTTTGGTTTACTGTGAGGCAATGAGCTGAGGCGTTTTCTGCACTGTGTGTGATACGTGGCAGATGTCGATGACAAAAATCAGCATTTTCATGTTGCGAGTGGAACCCTGCCACATACTCCCAACAATAACAAATACCTACTCAAATATGGTTTTATCCTAAATTATTTGAAATGCATGTCATGCCATTAAGATTTATTTGGGATTGTGTGTAACGTTGAAGACCAAAGGGAAGAAATAAAGGAAAAAGTAAACATGAAAAAATGTGAAATTGGTTGAGGCCACATTTGTACAGTAATTGTTTGCTTATGGACAATTGTTTTTGAACTAGGTTAACATTTTTCTGTATTTCCTCTCCAAATGAGCTCAAAAAACCCATCAATGACAAACCTTCTTCTTTTGTGCAGTACAATAATTGCTGCATAAACATTCTAGAGCATAAACTCACAGAAATTACTTTTATTTTGATCTGTAAAAATCCTAACTGATGTCATAAATTGAGCAGATGTACCTGTCAACCCTTTCCGCTGAGAAGCAACAGACGTATTTTCTGGGATGTCTATCTCCACCTGGTGGCTCTCTGCATGTCCCCTCCAATCCTCGTAAACCGGAGCAAGAGGAGAGCAAAATATGTTAAAATAAGTACAATTGGAAGCCACTAGGAAATAAAGGAAAAACAGAGAAAGGCAATTTACACAGAGCTAAATATATCAGGAGAGCAATATTATTCTACACACATCCTCTTATACATATGAACAGTGTTTCAAATAATAGTATATTTGAACTATACGACTAGAGTATTAACAGTGTTGACCTTGGCTTGGTTCATGTTAATGATTTGGCCGGAGCCGTGGGCTGGTCTCACTGCTGTTTTGGCTTTAGCTGTGTATTAATGAACAAAAGCAAAAAGTGCAGCTTGGCTCCCAGTGGACAATGTGGTTCTAAATGGGGGGATTGTGTGCGAGTTGAGAGTTTCTCCAGGGCATCAGACCTGAATGGTACAGTAGCATGAGCCCATTTAAAAGTAATTATCACAGCATGTTCCAGAGAACGTGTGTAACTCTGCCATTCCACATGAATGGTGGAAGAACATGTTACCAAAACTGACTTTTGTGTGCCGTTATGGCTTGGGAACAGACTTAAATACATAATGAGCGACTCACTGCAGTTAGAAAAACAAATTATGCATGGGACAATAAAGCCTAATACAAAAGTTGAAAAATAAACAGCAAGAAAGAAAGACATTTGTAGAAACGCATGACGAAATGTTTCTTTGCAAGTCAGAAAAACAGAGTGCACTACTACAAAAGTATCATTCACTGCCATGAAACAGTGGATGCATTTAATTGTTTGAACATATAAAAATAAACCACAACCAAGCAACACACATTTTGTACAAATAAAAACCTGAAATAGTTCCATTGACAAAGATTCTGAGTGTTTCGATTCGGAAAGGTGGATACAAGATTTACATTGGTAACTAAAACACTGCAATTAAAGAGCACAGTAAACCTGGTTAAGAATGTACATACTCTATTACCAAAATAAAACTCATGGCATGATGGTATGGATCTTTATAAAAAGCTGCTTAATAATAATAATGTAACATATCGTATTGATGAGCAGTTGCACTTGATTTGATGAAAACAATAAAGACGTGGTTTTGCTAAGACAAAAAAAAAAGGAACTACCGCCCAATGTTAATGATAGAAGTGTCCTAAGGGGCTCACAGACTGATAAAATATTTAAAACAAAACCTCTTAAGAATTATACAAGTATAAAAGGCTACAAACATTAATAAATTACATCACTGACACAGAAAACACTTCACATGGTGCTAGTAAAATAATTTTTAAATCCATCAGGGGTATTTTAGCTCAAATGTCAGGCTGGTCGTAGAAACGTTGTTTTATTTTCTTCTCCCCCATCATAAATGAATAATAATACACATGGTTTTCTGCATGTAAGGCCATATGAGAATAAATGTTACACTGTTTATTTTGTTCTCCAGGCAACACCTTTTGTCTAATGTAACAATGAAATGAAAACAAAACAATGGTTAAAAAAGTTCAGCTATTGTGTATCTAACAAAAATTTTAAAAGGTAATGATTATTTCTATATCTTTATATATATTTTTGTCTGTAATTAGCAAAAACTAGTAAAAATGTATAATGAAGTATTAAGGAAAAAAGGATACAAAAAGTAGTCATTTAAAAAGCTATATACAGGCTACATTCTACATACTGTACTGTGAAGCAAATGCATATTTCATTCTAGGGTAATTGGTGCTGCCTGTGAAACAAACAGAAGAGAGAAAGTATCCCCATGTAGTGAAATGTCATGGATGAGGCTTATCATCAGTGCTAGAGATCTCATTCATGTAGTGTTTCATTATTTTTGGCGAGTGTTTTGTATCATAAAATAGAACCGAAATAAGAGCTACATTGTCAAACTATAAAAAAACTGTATGATATAAAACTGATTGTAGTATCAATGTCTAAATTAAAAACAACAAAAATATATAAACATTTTAAAAGATGTGCTAACAATTCAGCACAAGTTTAGTATGCCTTTTTTTTCATGTGATACACTGATTTGCTAGACCAACAGGGGGGAAATTTATGTGGTTTGTTATCGATATGCATGTTTAATGATTTGTCAAAATATACGCTGACAGTTTTCCCCCATAAAAAAAACAAACAAATTCCTCCTGTATTTGTAGGGAAAAAAAAGAAATAAAATAAAAAAGCTGTCATTTTATAATAGCTGTTAATTACTAAAAATATGAGTTCATATTTGTGCTTCACTGAAGTTTTGTAAGTGCCTTCTGGCTTCAAACTACCTATGGCATGTACAATTATATTAGGTCAATAAATATTATCTGTGATAGTGCTTAGCAAACAGAAAAGTACTTTTTCAGCTGTCCCGTGTAGGTAACGCGTATAAAAAAGCTATTTTTCTTAAGAATTAAGGAAAGTAGATTCCAAATGAGGGAGTTTAAAATCATGTCTTCAGTATACTTGTTAAAAAATAAAAAAAAGACAATGATAAGCCACATCCAAAAAGCAGTAATGAATTTACAACCTACAACCTACCACCAACCCTTTCCCCTCCTCAAAACAATGCATGCAACTGGAATACATGCAAGGGATACTTTCTTTATCTTGGAATGACTGCTATGTACTGTATCTTAGAATATATTAGCAACCCCTGATAAACTGATAGCCGTAGTAAAACAAGACAAATTCTTCTTACAAAATATTAATAGCAGGTATTTTGTACATTTTTAATATCTGAAAATGATAAAGTAAAAGAAGAGGCAAAAACCTATCTGAGCTATGTTCTTCTTAGAAATTGAAAACTTGTGGGATCCTGTTCACGTTCCCGTCTGTTTGAGTCCTTATGCTCTCATCCCAGCTCATCGAGGGAGGGAGGGAGGGAGGGATCAGTCCTCGGGTCCATAAACATCAGGAGAAAGTCTGAGTCGCCCATTGCCCACATTACAGCAGGAGCTTGCCGTTACGATGAATCTTTAAGATTTTCCCAAGTCTCTGTTTGGCCGTTGCCATTCCTTTCTTTAGCCGCTTGGCTGTGGGCGAGACAAAGCAAAATGGTTAGCATATGCAACAACAACATTGCAACTCTATGATCACAGCAATGCATTATTAAGCCACAGCTGTGTCAATAAATTATTAAAGATCCAGAAATTGCAACTCTCATATTGGCCAATGCAACATAAACAAACCTTTAAACATGAATTAATACTCATCACAGAAGATCCGTATGTTTTGGCCAAAATCACCTTTGGAGTCCATCGAGTTCCCACGTTCGACTTTTGCTGGCGGGACAGACAAGGTGTTCTGAGATGACGATGATGATGAAGGCCGTCTCTGGCTGAGGAAGACTCCGGGGGCCATGGGTTGTGAGCTTCCGGCGGTCTTGCTCGTTCCAGTGCTGTACTCATGGTCGCCCTGGTTGGTCTCAGAGTCCGGGGCGGGTTCTGGAGAGCTGCTGTCATGAGAGAGTTTCTGAGGCTCCTCTACAGCCACGGGCTTCTTTTTGGTACTCTTTTTCTTCTTCTTGATCTTCTGCTCCTCCTGTAGCAAGAACTAGTTAGCTAAATCAGTCTTACAGATGTTTCTTATAAAAATGGGAGCTATTAGAAAGGATTCAGAATTTCTTGGTATTCATCTCTTTTACTTTAAATGACACTCGAGCTGCATGAACTCCACAAGTGTGTGTAAAACCTGATGATCATGTTCTCCAGCATGATTTGAAAATGATCCAAAAACCATCTTGTGCTCAAAGGAGTTCACATGGTCAGTGCTACAAAGCTGTGACCTTAAATTGTGCAGGATGTTAAATATTTATTCATTTTACATCAAAATCCTAATCTAATCTTTCAAAATCATACAACTATCTGTTCTCGATGTGGTCTCAGGAATTTGGACCCCACTGTAAATGAATGGCATGGTGCAACGCAATGACTGCAAATGCAACATCCACAAAATTGTAATTAAATTAATTGTTTAACATTGTATTTACTATGGCTGTATGATAGGGGGAAAAACTGGCGCTGAACCTGGCGCTGAATACCACTACAACTTGAATGGATGCTCCCTCTAGCAGCTTATTTGGATTTACACAGCCATACATGTTTGGTAATATGCATTTACGTGATGAAGGCATAGCTAGCTAGCAAACTGTAGGCTGTAGTAACAGTCTAACTCCACAATTCAGTACTGCATAGTTAACAGTCTTTGTAATGCACTTTCAGCAATACATTTCTAACATTTATTATGTGTTTTAAAAGTTGGGCCACGGACTTTAATTAATTAGCATTTAAAAATAGAAATGTTTTAACAGCCCTTTTTGCCTATATTTTCTGTCAATTCATGGGTACAGTTAAAATAAATGCAGACAATCTCTATACTGGCAGATTAAATGCCCTGACAAATATCAGTTATTGTTGATATATAAACATTTCAGTTGCACTAAATGAACTGAAGAACATAAAGCTTTAACCTGATGAGACAATTTAGCTGCTGCAGCTGCCAATCCTGTCTCTATGGACGCCACACGTGCCCCCTCCCGAGCTGGTCTCTCCTGTCGTGGTACAGTGGGCCCAACTCGTGCTGCAACAGTATGAATATAATCCCATGTGATTACATTTTTATAGTCAGATTCCCACCTGAAACTGTAGATTTTGCACTACCTGTTGGACTATATGGAGTGTCATCTGTATTTTTCCTTTTTTTGGATCTTGATTTGAAAATGGGGCTGTCCTCCTCAGATTCCAGAGACGGATAAACTGGAGGGGGGGGACATAATTATCATTTAACACCATATCAGCATCTAAGAAATATTCATGGTAAAATTAAGAGTAATAAATTCAAAATAGTCATAATAACACATGCATAAATTCAATACAATAATTTAACAATATTATCTTTATAAACAAACAAAACAAAAATAAATTAAAATGCATGATTACAAAAAGCAAAAATTAGCTAATTCTACAGATGCCACCATTTTCATTCCTTTTGGAATGTCTTCTCATTTTGGAATGACATATGTATGGTTTAAAGTCGCTAAAGAAAGCAATGTAAATGTGCAATGTTGAAAAACATTAATTTTAAACACATAGCTTGTACATGAGAAACCACCCTGTTTTTGCACTCCATAAACTACAGTGCTAAGTATTTTCTCATTGGACAGGATGTTAGCGTGACACAGATGCACGGCAGCTGTTCCTTGCCTTGCCTCGGCCTGCATGCACCTAGCTTCTTTGAACTCAACTACTCAGGAACACGCAATTTCCAACAATTAAATTATCAAGACAAAGAAAAAAAATGTTTACAGAAAAGAGGAATGCTCGTGTGTTTGATAAAACTCTCTTAGTGTGAGTCCAAACGGGAATGTGCGTGCTAGTAATGACTAATTATAGTATCAGATCAAAAAGCATTTAAAACAACAGTTTAAAACTCATGCTAATGGATTATTAACAGGCTACTAATGGTCTTGCTGTTCTTGGAAGGGGTTCACAAAAGCTATAAAAGAGACCACTCAGAAAGTGGGGATTGAAAAGTTCTAGCCGAGAGTAAACGCGCCTGTCACTTTGCCATGAATGAGAACCCTTAAGTCAAAATCAAACTCTAATCAGAACGTTGATAGAGCAGATTTACACTGTTTGGCTTTGCGCTAAGGGCACCTGGGCAATTCCAAGTCATCATGAAACATCCTTGACAAATTGTCTCAGAGGAACTAATTGGTCTTGATAATAGTGCAAACAAGCTATCCAAGATGAAGGTACGAGAGAATTGCGATCTGTTCTCCAAATGGGTTCTTAAAGGGATAGTTCAGCCAAAAATGAAAATGTCATCATTTACTCACCCTCATGTCATTCCAAACCTGCATGACTTCATTTCTTCTAAATGTTGGGGTCCAAACAACATTACACCACTTAATTGTATGGACGACAAAGACACTGAGACATTTTTCGACATATCTTTTGCGTTCCTCAGAAGAAAGAAAGTCAATTTTGCGTGAACTACCGCTTTTAGCACAGTAAAAGAATCCGTTTGAAGAACTTACCGTAGTCAGAATCCTTAAAGCATGCGTCCAGGTGGTCCTGGTCATCATCGAACATGTCCAAACTGTCCACGCTGCTGCTCTTTTGCGTCTTCTTGGGCAAGCGTTTGGCCGGTCGCTTGCTGTTGCTAGCCGTTGCTCCGGCCATGCTGCTCGGCTTCTTGCTGGCTGTGCTGCTGTGCGAGTTGTTCTTTGCTTGGCTATTGCTCCAGGACGTTTGCAGACAAGAGTCTGATGACTGCAGGTTAGCCATGGACAACATGCCCTGGATGGCCTCCTGTGTGCTGGGGGATGCAGGTGGCTGACTGTAAGTCCATCAATAAGAAATACACAACACGCACGTACATTACTCTGAGTGTCAGTGGGAATGAGAAGCGATTCGAATTTTAGGTAGTGAGTTGGGTAATGGGAAGCAACGAGGTTGGAGATGGACACTTAAAGGTGAAGTGTGTAATTTCTGCACAGCTAGTGTATCAAACAGATTTCCCAGACAAATAGACCCAAAACAGCTTCCACTGGTTGGGTAGGTCAAGATGCTTTTATTTAAACTAGAAAATTAAGAAAAGCAGTATTTCCAGGCCACATTATTCAACCACATGACTTGAGGCACTCATTTATGAATTCATTATCAAGTAAACATGTTTCAATTGTAGTTAATGTTCACGTCTTCAACCAATGAATAAATAAACGCAAATATGATTTATTTATGTGTATTATTAAATTTCTATTTGCATCTTGGTGTTTCCATCCAGCATTTTTTTGCAATATCCAGTTTTGTTACTGTTAACTATAAAATCAATACAAGAACATTTAAATGAAAATTAGAACGGTTGCCTTGGCAACTAATTAAAATTAAATTAAAATAGTAAAAAAAAAAAAAAAGGTAATAAAATGATCAAAAGCGCATAAAATTACTAAAACTTAAACTAAAATTTAAACGAATGCTGAAAAATATAAAAGCCAATTCAAAATATGAATAAATACTATAATAATAATATATAAATAATATTAGAATAACACTGGCAGAAAAATCTGCAGAAAAATAGGATGGAAACTCATTGTTTGCAAATAGTTCACACATAGTCAACTGTGCATATTAAAAATTGTAAAAAACGTGAACATAATAATTGCTGTTTATAGTGTACATCGTCTGTTTGATTACGTCTTTAATTGATTTTTACGTACATTTCTGCCATATGTACATGAACTGACAGTCACCACTGATAAGCTACTACTAAATATTGTAGAAACTTAATTTTCTGTAAAGTTGCTTTGCAATGATTTGTATTGTGAAAAGCGTTATACAAATAACCTTGAATTGAATTAAAATAAAAATACTATATAATATTGAAATATTATATACATTACAGTATAGTATTTTAATATTGAAAACATTACACAGATCACCTTTAAACCACCATAGAAATGTTTGATGTTATTTCCACTGCAGCTGAGGTATGGCATTGTTATCTGGACTTAAGGCAACCGTTTCGTTGGTAATTATATTTAATCAACTGAACATGTACAGCTAACAGGTGGGCCTGGCAAACTGACATGAAAGTCAACTTAAGATTCAATGCAAGGTATCCCTGCATTATCTATAACGTCTCTACTTCCATTCAACCAAAACTGAAAGCACGAGCCAGAACTTACCTGTTCTCTAACAGTAACATCTGCTCAAGCAATAAACCACTCTCACTAATGCTTTTCTAACTTACCCGTCACTAAAACATTCATTTCCCACCAATTTAATTTGCTCATCATATAAATCTCTTCCTATACTGTAGATCTTTTCATGTCAGAAGAAGATTCTGCCGTGTGAACTGAGAAGACTGTTGTGTCCACATCTGCTTTTGAGCTTGAGGTAACCAGCAGAAAATACAGATTTAGCCTGTGCAGATTACCACCTATTAAGTGATTAACCAGTGAGGTGGAACAATGAGTCAAAAGCTCGTTTAATGTGGTCGCAACTGACTGGAGGCATTTCCTCCCCACAATCCTGCACTCGTATGTCAGGTTTAAAAGCACAAAAAATTATTTGAACAATATTATCTTTATAAACAAACAAAACAAAAATAAATTAAAATGCATGATTACAAAAAGCAAAAATTAGCTAATTCTACAGATGCCACCATTTTCATTCCTTTTGGAATGTCTTCTCATTTTGGAATGACATATGTATGGTTTAAAGTCGCTAAAGAAAGCAATGTAAATGTGCAATGTTGAAAAACATTAATTTTAAACACATAGCTTGTACATGAGAAACCACCCTGTTTTTGCACTCCATAAACTACAGTGCTAAGTATTTTCTCATTGGACAGGATGTTAGCGTGACACAGATGCACGGCAGCTGTTCCTTGCCTTGCCTCGGCCTGCATGCACCTAGCTTCTTTGAACTCAACTACTCAGGAACACGCAATTTCCAACAATTAAATTATCAAGACAAAGAAAAAAAATGTTTACAGAAAAGAGGAATGCTCGTGTGTTTGATAAAACTCTCTTAGTGTGAGTCCAAACGGGAATGTGCGTGCTAGTAATGACTAATTATAGTATCAGATCAAAAAGCATTTAAAACAACAGTTTAAAACTCATGCTAATGGATTATTAACAGGCTACTAATGGTCTTGCTGTTCTTGGAAGGGGTTCACAAAAGCTATAAAAGAGACCACTCAGAAAGTGGGGATTGAAAAGTTCTAGCCGAGAGTAAACGCGCCTGTCACTTTGCCATGAATGAGAACCCTTAAGTCAAAATCAAACTCTAATCAGAACGTTGATAGAGCAGATTTACACTGTTTGGCTTTGCGCTAAGGGCACCTGGGCAATTCCAAGTCATCATGAAACATCCTTGACAAATTGTCTCAGAGGAACTAATTGGTCTTGATAATAGTGCAAACAAGCTATCCAAGATGAAGGTACGAGAGAATTGCGATCTGTTCTCCAAATGGGTTCTTAAAGGGATAGTTCAGCCAAAAATGAAAATGTCATCATTTACTCACCCTCATGTCATTCCAAACCTGCATGACTTCATTTCTTCTAAATGTTGGGGTCCAAACAACATTACACCACTTAATTGTATGGACGACAATGACACTGAGACATTTTTCGACATATCTTTTGCGTTCCTCAGAAGAAAGAAAGTCAATTTTGCGTGAACTACCGCTTTTAGCACAGTAAAAGAATCCGTTTGAAGAACTTACCGTAGTCAGAATCCTTAAAGCATGCGTCCAGGTGGTCCTGGTCATCATCGAACATGTCCAAACTGTCCATGCTACTGCTCTTTTGCGTCTTCTTGGGCAAGCGTTTGGCCGGTCGCTTGCTGTTGCTAGCCGTTGCTCCGGCCATGCTGCTCGGCTTCTTGCTGGCTGTGCTGCTGTGCGAGTTGTTCTTTGCTTGGCTATTGCTCCAGGACGTTTGCAGACAAGAGTCTGATGACTGCAGGTTAGCCATGGACAACATGCCCTGGATGGCCTCCTGTGTGCTGGGGGATGCAGGTGGCTGACTGTAAGTCCATCAATAAGAAATACACAACACGCACGTACATTACTCTGAGTGTCAGTGGGAATGAGAAGCGATTCGAATTTTAGGTAGTGAGTTGGGTAATGGGAAGCAACGAGGTTGGAGATGGACACTTAAAGGTGAAGTGTGTAATTTCTGCACAGCTAGTGTATCAAACAGATTTCCCAGACAAATAGACCCAAAACAGCTTCCACTGGTTGGGTAGGTCAAGATGCTTTTATTTAAACTAGAAAATTAAGAAAAGCAGTATTTCCAGGCCACATTATTCAACCACATGACTTGAGGCACTCATTTATGAATTCATTATCAAGTAAACATGTTTCAATTGTAGTTAATGTTCACGTCTTCAACCAATGAATAAATAAACGCAAATATGATTTATTTATGTGTATTATTAAATTTCTATTTGCATCTTGGTGTTTCCATCCAGCATTTTTTTGCAATATCCAGTTTTGTTACTGTTAACTATAAAATCAATACAAGAACATTTAAATGAAAATTAGAACGGTTGCCTTGGCAACTAATTAAAATTAAATTAAAATAGTAAAAAAAAAAAAAAAGGTAATAAAATGATCAAAAGCGCATAAAATTACTAAAACTTAAACTAAAATTTAAACGAATGCTGAAAAATATAAAAGCCAATTCAAAATATGAATAAATACTATAATAATAATATATAAATAATATTAGAATAACACTGGCAGAAAAATCTGCAGAAAAATAGGATGGAAACTCATTGTTTGCAAATAGTTCACACATAGTCAACTGTGCATATTAAAAATTGTAAAAAACGTGAACATAATAATTGCTGTTTATAGTGTACATCGTCTGTTTGATTACGTCTTTAATTGATTTTTACGTACATTTCTGCCATATGTACATGAACTGACAGTCACCACTGATAAGCTACTACTAAATATTGTAGAAACTTAATTTTCTGTAAAGTTGCTTTGCAATGATTTGTATTGTGAAAAGCGTTATACAAATAACCTTGAATTGAATTAAAATAAAAATACTATATAATATTGAAATATTATATACATTACAGTATAGTATTTTAATATTGAAAACATTACACAGATCACCTTTAAACCACCATAGAAATGTTTGATGTTATTTCCACTGCAGCTGAGGTATGGCATTGTTATCTGGACTTAAGGCAACCGTTTCGTTGGTAATTATATTTAATCAACTGAACATGTACAGCTAACAGGTGGGCCTGGCAAACTGACATGAAAGTCAACTTAAGATTCAATGCAAGGTATCCCTGCATTATCTATAACGTCTCTACTTCCATTCAACCAAAACTGAAAGCACGAGCCAGAACTTACCTGTTCTCTAACAGTAACATCTGCTCAAGCAATAAACCACTCTCACTAATGCTTTTCTAACTTACCCGTCACTAAAACATTCATTTCCCACCAATTTAATTTGCTCATCATATAAATCTCTTCCTATACTGTAGATCTTTTCATGTCAGAAGAAGATTCTGCCGTGTGAACTGAGAAGACTGTTGTGTCCACATCTGCTTTTGAGCTTGAGGTAACCAGCAGAAAATACAGATTTAGCCTGTGCAGATTACCACCTATTAAGTGATTAACCAGTGAGGTGGAACAATGAGTCAAAAGCTCGTTTAATGTGGTCGCAACTGACTGGAGGCATTTCCTCCCCACAATCCTGCAGTCATATGTCGGGTTTAAAAGCACAAAAAACAATTTGAGAAATTAACATATTTTAGCCATGTTTTCGTTCTCATTTTGTGTTTGAGCTGATTTGCAGCTTTCAGCGCAGTGGAAATAGACCATCAAATATGTGCCCAAAACAGCAAACAGTCAAATGAAGAGGAATGGCCTGAAGCTTTTGCTGTATTTGACAAATTAATAGTGCAGTGGGATTAAACAAATAATGCCAGCACGTGTAAACCGCTTATAAAGAACCGTGCAAACTATTACTTTCGCCATTGTTCGACAGATGAAGAAATGCCTGTGCTCGATGTGTTTACAGTGTGAAGTTTAAGAACTAACAGTTAAGCTAGAAATATGACGTGTTTCAGTTCTTTAAGGGTCAGGAACAGGCTTCATCATAAATTGTATGTTCCCTATGGCCCTCTGCCAAAGACAAAACATATCCATACTACATACTCCATCACAAACATACCACATGAAAACGTATGAACAGAGGATGTGCAAAACTGACGAGTCGATGGATTGTCTAAACAACTAGTCGCTTTAGGAAGCCTTGTAACATTACACTACTTCAAGGTCACGTACATCAAATACTAGTCAAGATTTTTCACACAAGACACATTCTTGTGTTCAAAAACAGTTAGATGGAGCAAAACAATATGGAACCGAATGCGAGGTCTAAAGCCATATTTTTTTTTAAACAGTTTTAACTTGAAACAAACAGTTAGATGCAGTGCAAGGGCCAACGATGTCCGTCTACATGTGTAATGCATTTAAAACATTTAAAAAACATAAGCTTGAATGCTAAATTGACAGATTCAAGTCAACAAATATATACGGGCTAAATATTTAAAACATTTTATTGCACAAAACTATTTAAGTCTACACAAAAACAGAAGGCTATGGATTATATTATGAAATGCAATTTTAAGGCAGTGCTGCTTAGAGGGATGAAATTTCTCGGAAACTATTTACGATGCCGAATTGTCTCAGCATGCTAAAGTATACCATGCTAAAATTCACAGAAGTTGCACTCTTTAAAGTTCTGCTGCTAAAAATACTAAAGCAAAACTAAAATAACAATAAAGTAAATATCCTATTAAGCCTTATTAATAAACTAGGCTAAGCCAAGCCTTTCATACGCATATGGAAAACAGTCATGTGTGTACCTGTTGTTGCTGTAGTCAATGCCGCCCACTTGTTTGCTGGCCTGTAGAAGATCCAGAATCCCAGCTGAACTGCCCCCTTTATTCTTAGAGACCTTGGAGTTACGACCTTTGACCTCTGTCTTGGCCTCGGTGTCTATGTGGAGCGATTCCTCATCTGATGAATCTGGACTCTGAAATAACAATAGTATAAACATACACTCTATTTCACAGGATGTGCACAATTTAAAGTATCAACGCATACATAAGAAGCTGGTAAATGCTTTGCTTTAGCAAAATACATTCTAATACACCCTGACCTAAATGCATATGATTTTTCTTAGGTTTGTTTTATTGGTATATCCTGTAACCCCTCACATAGTTCGCCTGTGGGCCTCTGTCGTGATTAACTTTCTCACTCTCATTTGATTCAGTCCACAGCTATTTCCTTCATCAGTTTTGAGGTGATATTTGGCTCCGACTTGCAGCTTGCTCTCTTTGATTTGCGCCGTATGTTGGTTTAAGTTGGAACATTGTGGGTGAATTACTGCAAGCCGAGAACATCAGCGCTGCAATGTTTTAAATGCATCCAGAAGGAATTAATCAGCTACTTCGTGAAATAAAGATTGGAGATTTGGAGTTTGTCCCAATTTCTTCCTGTTTACTGTCAATCAGCCTTTTAATGTTATTACCACTGTCTGATTAAAGAGAAATATTATGGATGTTCCGTTAAATAACACTGGACCGGGCCATTCAAACAGAGTTTATGCTCACCTTCATGTCCGACTGTTGTAGCTTTGGCTTTTTCGCTGGCTGAATGGGCTCTTTGATGTTTGATAAAACTGTAAATAACATCACGTTCAACATTATTCTCACATAGCATGAAACAAAAGATTTATTGTTAATCAGTTAAAAGACAAGTCTATATAGGTCCTTGCACACTGAGTCCAAAATTTTCGTATGCGGTTTTCCATTTTTTACATATTCGTCATCCTTTCCTATCAAAATGCTTGCTACTGATGCGAAAACGCAAAACATCGAACCTGGTCCAAATTTTTTTATGACGGACGAAAGTTTCAAAGGCAGTGTGTAAACATGAGCTACACGTGAGGTCGCATATATTTTTCAACGTGCGAAAATTTTGGACGAAAAATTCGGACTTCATCTCTTATAGGCAGGCCCATATAGAATCAGCAGTATCAGATTTAATCTCAATGACTGTCAATCACAATTTCTACATATGCATCACCCAGGGACCAAATTTAACATAGCCAAATACAAGCAAAAACTGTTATTAAATTAAATGCACAATGACCAGTAACTTTATTGCAACTGCATCTTGAAATTTACCATCTAAATTTTAACTAGGATTTTTTTTACTGTATGTGGTGACACGTGAAATATTCCTCACGTCTGTATATCTGTAATACAATGACCTGAGCTGTTTGCTACTAATGCAAGAAAAAGATTATTAGGACAAAATATTAATTAAAAACTATTATACATTTAATAAAATATTAAAATAATGAAAAACCGTTTCATGGCCCACAAGAAACATTTAGGACCAGTACAATTTTACTAAATTCACTCGTCATTTGCAGATTTAATTTTGGACCCTTGCCCTAACCCTTATGTGTTTGTTTATTAAAAAATTTGGATTAATTTTAATATCCTTTAAATACCAATAGGACCATAGTACTATCCACTCTGTTTAACACTCATTTCTGTAGACTGTCACCCAAAATCGGTGTAAAAAATGAAACAGAAGTCTGCAGATTCCATCTGGGCCTGATTATATAGTCTATAATAATTGTTGCTCTTAAATTATGTTTAATTTAATCAGAAAATCACCCTGGCCCAGATCACATATCATGAAACCTTACAGGAAAAGTCTCTCTTGACTGCGTTCTTTTTCCTCCTGATTGGGAATTCGTCGATCTTAAGCTCCCCTTCATCAGAGACATACTCATACTCGTCTCTCACAGGCTTGGGTTTTTCTTCCTTTATGTTCTGTATTGAGCCAAAAACACTCGAATTGGTCTGGGTCTTGAGCATCTTTGATCTGAGAAAGCCAGATGATAGAAAAGAACATTAGTTGGATTGTCACAAGAGACAATCTGGTGCAAAGACACAGAATTGCTCAAAATTAGGGCTGTCAACTGAATTAACATTTATAAATGCATTTACAAATTAGTTTATACATAAATGCAAGACAAAAACATAATTTAGCTAAATTAACTGGTTAAATTAATGATGCATGCCTGAATTAACTTCAATACAACTGCACTTACCCTAACAACTTCTTATTTGACAATGAAAATGCAAATTTATTGTCTTTATGGCTGAGTAGACTTTTGTCAAATTTGTGCTCTTCTTCCATTTTCAATAACGAATCGGGTTTGCTATTCTGAAAGATGAAAAGAAACACCAAACAACAATCATTGCACTGAAACTCTTCCCGTCTCACACATTTTCACAGGTCTTTGCTGTCAGCCACGTCCACTGTGATCAGACATCAAAGACGGAAGCCATTGCGGCTGATGACCTTGAAGACTATCTAGCAGAGACTCCTCTCCATCTGCAAATGTTTGGCAAGTGGCAAAGGAGCACTCGGATCAGGAGACTTGGAGCAACTACAAACAATCCTGGGTTGTCTGGCATTGAATTTTTCCCCTTGAACGAAAGCCCCGTAATGCCTTCTGTTCACCAGAATTAAGCTCTTCCTACAAAAGCCATCCCATGTTATCCAACAATAATGACACAACACACTCATGTTTATAGCAGAAATGAAGGCATATGTAAATACTTTGCTGGCATGTCGGGGATATGACATAGCATTACAGCATTAGGTAAACTCTGCGCCTGGGTAAAGGGTTATGCTGATTTGATGAGCCCAGCACAGAGAGAGTGACTGAGCCGCAGAGTTATTTCTGCTGATTGCTTTGATCTGAAATGTGTAAATCACTTCTGGATGATCCCAAAGCCCTCTGTGCTACTTTTCAACTTGTCAGGGCTTGATATCATTTGCATGGATTTTCAAAGCTTCGCTCTAGCATTGTGTGCATTACACATGGACCCAGAGTTATTCATTACAGTCGTTTCCTTACATTGTAAACCTAACAAACGTACCTTATATTTCCATTTGGCCTCAGTCTTGTTCTTATTATGCTCTCGAATCATCTTAAACTTATCATCGTCATTCGGTTTACTCGTCTCCTTCTCCATAATACTCATCCCAGTCTTTACCAGCTGTGTAATGTGAGGGACAATACAAGTTGGATATTATAAATGGATAAAAGTGCATATGAAAGTTCTAGAGCAGAGGAATATATTTACAATATATTCACAATGATTTTGCTAGTGCAGCATCATTACATATTGTTTATGTTCAACTTAAAACTGTTACTGGAAGTTATAGTGACTGTAAAGACATTTCTAACATTAAAGAATTTCTAACATAAAAGATTTCTGTTTCAAATAAATGCTTGCTTTTGAACTTTCTATTCATCAAAGAATCCTAAAACATGTATCATATTTTCCACAGAAATATTGAGCAGCACAACTGTTTTCAATTGATAATAGTAAGAAATGTTTCTTAAAATTAGAATGATTTCTGAAGGCTCATGTGACTTTAAAGCCATTGGAGTAATGACTGCTGGATCACAGAAATATAAAACTATAAAATACAGTTAAACAGACAATTAAACATAAAACAGTTATTTTGAAATGCAATAATATTTCACAATTTGACTTTTACTTAGATCAAATAATGCAGCTTTGCATTAGTGTTCTTTCAAAAAAAAAAAAAAAAAAAATCTTTCTGACAAAACCTTTGAACAGTAGTTTTTTTTAAATCAGATTTTTACTGCATTTTACTTAATGCATTAAACATTTTGTTGGATGTTTGGTTGAAATTATGATTCCTCTGATTTAAAAAAAATAAATCCACCCTTTTAATGTCATTTCAAATACATAAATATATATTGAATATCATAAGGCTGAAAAAAATTTACTTTTTTGGGCTGGTCCATCTTGTTCAGGATGTCCCTTGCATGGGATTCAAGAGCTGCCAGACTTGAGGGCTTTTTCTCAGGTAAAATACTTTCTTTTGCTTTCTTCGCTTTCTTTTTGCCACCTTCTTTTATTTTGGGTTCCTTCGGTGGTTTGGGTGCCTTGGGCATTTTGGGTGGTTTGGGTGGCTTTGTGGCTTTCTTCCTGGCTGGCTTATCTCTTGGGGGGGTGGAGATGTGGGCAGGGGACATGGGTACTTCTGGTTCTGACGGAGCAGACGGGGGTTCCTCTGCTGGGGGCTTTGAGTTGCTGGGTTCACTCTTTATGGCTTTTGTTGCGTTCTGAGTCAAAGACATAGTGGAGAAGTTGTCAACCATTACTGATTCTGACAATAGCTGATTGAACATGTACAAAGACATTCTACGTAATAAAAATCAAGATAATTTCTGAGTAAATTAGAGCAAGTAAATTAGATAAGTCTCCAATGACTTTGCAACGTCTCACCTCTGAAATCCGAATCTCTTTGGCAAGATCTTTGATGAGCTGTGCTGGCTTCATATTTTCAGGAAGCTCATCCTCATGTTCTAAAAGAGCCTTTGGAAAAAGACAAAAGTAAGAGTCACGGTCAAGTTAAATCATTTAAATAAGCAAAACTACAGAATATCAAAAATACTACAATTTGTAGCGAGAAGTACCTGTTTTTTAGTCCATGATCTGAATGCTCCATTGACAATTTTGGCACCATGTACCAAGTAAAGTGGTGGCTGCTTGTTTGCTTTATGTAAACCTGCAAAATGTTCATGAAATTGTGCATCAGAGTCCATTATTCCCATCTGGATCCAAACACTCATCTAGTGTCGTATTAGTAACATAAGACCCTCTCTAGAAAGGGATGTTTTCTAAATAGGCAAACTGGTGAAAGGTCCAACTTTCCTTAAATCATTAGCAGCAATGCCTAAGACTGTGGTCGCCCTGTCAGAAACGCTCAGAGCATGAAACTCACTAAAAGAAGCAGGGAAACGTTACACCAGAAATAAAAATGCACTACATTTTCAACAGAACCTGTTCAATAACAAAGGCCATTCATATATCAAACTGATTACTTCAATCCAGTGGGGCCTAAAAACAGTCATGCGCCTTTTTGGAGATGATTACATTCAATGATTACATTGGACTGGAATACACGGCCACTACAGGAAAAATATTCCACACTGTATTTAAATTAATAACATGAAGATAAAGTGAAAGCTGAAACAGTGAAATGAGAAGGGAAGAAATACAGCTGGCGGTGGCCCAGTCGGCCTGCTGCATGGGCCAGGTGCCAAGGACTTTTTTTCCCTCTACCTGAAGTCACACACGAGATTTGGACCCTTGAAAAGATGACCTTGAAAGCCAATTCCACCATCTGAACATCAGATAGCTCGGAGACCCACTGCGGTCCTTTTTGTAATGTGCGCTCTACAGCAATCTGGCAAAATTAAGTAACATGATGGGGTAAAATGGTGGAAATATAAACACACAGTCCAAGGCCAGATGAGGGGAGTTTAAACACCGGGCTGTAATGGAGCAAGTGATTCTGCCTTTTGAAGCTAATCATCTGTGAACTCCGTGATGCACCAATCTAATGACTGCAATAATATGCCAGCTATCAAGACCCTCCTCATCTGCTCAGCAGGCCCCTTCCAGGATCACGCACAAAGCAGGAGAGAAGGAAGCCATTTGAATCTACCTTACATTAGATCTTTTTATATCCAGTCCCACAGTTCACTATTACGGATAAATCTTGTGCTGTGCAGGATGGAAAAGCAATTTTTGAAATCAAAACCTTTAAAGCCATTTTAGGGGAGTCACACATGGGAGTTTTGCTGTGAATGATTTAAGCATGCAATAACGTAAATGGATGCAGTGAAATTGACACTTTGTTCTTTTTTACTTGTGAGTTTTGTGGAATTACAAGACCTACAAACAAGCCAAATAAAAAATAGGGTTTTTATATTTATTTATATTAATCACTCACCTTTAAACCGCTCCAGGTAGTATTTCCCCACATACCAACATGCTGTTTCGAAGTTTGGAAATGGAGTGAGGCTGGCAACTTTGAGTCTTTTTTCTACCTCATATGCTCTGAGTGGAGAAGCAAAGGGAGGATTACTGAAAAGTGTGCCTTGAGAGGAAATCGTGGTCTCACACATGTGACAAAAGCACTTCAGAAGGCAAAAGCATATACTCTTGACTTCCCCTCTTTCTTTTCCTACAGAGGCTTGGAAGTGGCAAGAACTGAAGAGATAAGATTTGATGCTTGAGTGCTTCAATTACATCACCGCCCACCAGTTGTCATTTTATAGCAAACTGCATGCAATAACATTTAAAATGGCAATAGCCAAAAACTTTAGGCCTTTATAATCCCACATAATAGTGACAGTAAGCATCAATATATATATATATATACATAGCTTGTTTTACAGAAAAAAAAGGGCAGATCACTGACCTCATTTGCATCTCCAAGCTCAGACTGTGGACAAAATGTCCGGAGAAGGCTAAGCAGTCTACAGGAGTCAGTACTGCATTAATCCAACCTGCCATTGAATAAAAACAAGGTAATGTTGTTATCTTAGAGTCATTTAAAAGTCAAATCTAATTATCGGCACCCTGATATCTCACCTGATGGAATGAAAAGAGTTTGCCCTTGTTTCAGTGTGCACTTGTAACACTTGTCCACTTGATCAGCAAAAAACATCTCGCTGTGGTTGGAGGAGGACCTCCAGCGCTCGTACAGAGAAAGGTTGGCAGAAGTGGGCTTGATCAGAAAGAAGATTTTCTCTCCCTTTACAACACACAGGTGAAATACACAGTTCAACATAAACTATACAACAATATCGAACAGCAGAATGCAGTGATTGGTCAATCAAAATCAAGGTTTTGGCGGTCCAAGGCCCTGGGGAACCATCCTGGTCCATAATCCAGTCCTGCACAGTGGGGATGGTGCGTTTCCGATGATGCACAGTGTTCAGCTTATACGCCAAATATGGCGTTTAGTCTGATGGCCAACAAGATCAACCTTCTTCCAGCTGGCTTCAGTCTACCACATGCCTTCTGGCAAAAATACAGCCAAGATGTCATGTGACATTTTTAACAGTGGCTTTCTCTTCACCACTGTCCCTTAAAGCTGCTGAAGCACCCAGGCAACAGTTGTTGTATCACAGTCTCTTCAGCTTATAACTCCTTCAGAGTTGTCAGTGGTCACTTAGTGGCACTTGACTTCACACAAGTGATCTTCATTTAACTATTTGTCTTGTAAACCCAACTGAGCGCACTAGCGTGTCATATTAAAGGAACAGTCCACCCAACAATGACAATTCTGTCTTCATTTACTCACCCTCATGTTGTTCCAAACCTGTATGTTTTTCTTTCTTCTGTATAACACAAAAGAAGATATTGTGAAGAACTGAAAAGTTTTGGTTCCCATTTAACTCTAATGTACTGTTAAAAATATAATGGAAGTCAAT